AAAAAAAAAAAAAAAAAAAAAAGGTTAATAAATGTGAAAAAAAACAAACCTATCTGGTGCAATCATCAACTTCAGCTGTATATTTGCTTTCCGTGGCCACAAAGCCTTTCAAGTTTCAACTTTTCTTCTCTCGATTTCTTTTGAGGTCTTTTTTTTCCAATCAGATTCCTTGTATTGAATTTCTCGAATCTGGGTTTACTTTCTTGATCTTGCTTTTAAAAAAATTCCGATAATTAATCACCGCTAATTTCGCTATAAATCTGACTGAACGTTTGTGCCTTTTTTTTTTGCTCAAATTAGGGTAGGGCGATAATACTAAGAGTGTTGTTCTTCGTTTAGAGCCTTGTTTTTGCCTGGGTTTCGAGCCGAGGAGCCATATACTCTTCAGGCAATCTGGCTTACAAGAGGTTAGATCATAATTCTTTCGTTTTCTTGTTTAATTGTGATTTTTATTATATGTTTGTTGCATGCTTTCAATTTTTTGGAGTTGATGTTGTTTTGTACGAGCTAATGGTTATATGGGCTCTTGTGTTTTGTTCTGATATATTATGAGTTTGTTTGTTTCGGATGTTGATTTGTAGAAATTGTATTGAAATTAGTGGAATTTGACTATTTGAGCTATTTTTTCTTGTTACAATCGTTATTGTTTGAATTATCATTGCCCATGTAATGCTTGATTTAATGTCATTTTGAACTATGGCTACTTTAATGTAAGCCAGTTGCTGTTTGCTGCCGTGTTTCTAAGGTGCACATGTTATCATCAAAGAAGGAACATTCCGAGCATATCTGTAATCTAAGCCATCTTGTTATGTACGAGCTAATGTTGATTTGGGCGTCTGCAGCTTGTTTTCGATATATTTTGAGTTTGTTTTATTGGTGTCGATTTGTTGACAAATGTGGATATTGGTGGAATTTGAGCTCCATTTTTCTTTTATAATCCTTATTAGTTTGAACCATTATTGCCCATATGATTCTTAATATTTGTTATAGCGCTAGTGTAGTTTTGAATTACAGCTACTTTGATGTAGTTAATTGTTGTTGTTTGCT